GAGCCGGGTGCCTGACGTGTGTCTGTGGACCGGGGGGGTAAAAGTCATGCTGACTTTTTCTCTTCTTAACGCTAGTTCTTATAAATTCGGGATCAAGACATGAAGCGAAATACCTCAGTGGCATCTCTCACTTCTTGGAAAAGCTGGCCTTCTCCGTGAGTAGTAGTGGGGACCCGGAGTCTGTGCGAACCGCCGTAAATCTGCACAGCAGTGAGCGGCCGAGGGCAGGACCTGCTCCTCGCAGCGGCACTGGGGGTTTGATCTGTTTAAATAGATGGTGATGGTGTTCCTAGTTAATTATTGCGACCGTAATTATATTTTGAAAGCCTGTTGTGCTTTCACCTCCAAGGTTAGTAAGTATTTAGCAAACCATTTAACTCAAAAAAGATGATGCTTGTTCTGGGCTACACTGAAGGATTATGAACAGCTATAGCTTTACTAATTAATAACACTGGTATCTTCTTTCTTAGTCCACAGCTCAGTTTGGCAGCAAAGATGAAATTCTCCTCACCTTAGAAAAGCACGGGGGCATTTGTGACTGCCAGGCATCGAGGTATGACGCTCTTTCTCTGTGCTCTGCTACCTGAGTGGTTGTAACACGGACAGTAGTTTGAGTTGCTTTTTCTGGTGTGAGACAGTAAAAGCCACTTTTTGCTTCTAAGCAGCAGAAATCCATTTGTGGCGACTGCCAGGAAGCTACAAAAGTGAACCAGAAAGGGTTATAAAAGTCAGTTCTGTTTCCTTTTGAAAGCATTTAATGATAATGGTCAAGCAGCTTTATCTGTGACTTCCTGATGCATATTTACTGAATGATTGTAGACGTGACTTCTCAGTGCAGAACCTATCTGCTTGTGTTGCAGGGATACCATAATGTACGCTGTTTCTGCTGACGCCAAAGGCCTGGACACAGTGGTCAACTTGCTGGCTGATGTAGCGCTACAGCCCAGGTTATCAGGTCAGGGAACAAAAGTCTCTGTCTCAAAAAAAGACTCCCAACGCATGACTTGCTATTAGATTTCAGAATTCTTCATTAGATTGTGCTCATCAAGAAGTTATCATGTAGCAATTAGGTATTATGCGTGGTGGTTGTTATCTCTTGTTTTCTTTCTTACTACAGATGAAGAAATTGAGATGACTAGAATGGCTATACGATTTGAACTTGAAGACTTGAATATGAGACCTGATCCAGAGCCTCTCCTCACAGAAATGATCCATGCGGTAAAACACTGAAAAGTGTACCTTGCATGCAGTCCCCTGTATGAGACATGCTGCATTCTCTTCCTCAGTTTTTCCTCAACTTCAGGGTTTATTTTAGACTATTCTGAAAACAGATTTTTCTGTTATTCAGTTAGATTTCAGTGGTGAGAGGGAGAATTTTGCTGCCCCTCCACTTGAAGTCCTACATTCTACACACGTGAAAGATTTTAACTTAAACTAAAACTATCTATAACTTATCTTTGTTGACATGGGTGACAACGATGAGTTGTTGATTTACGCTGACATTAGTGAAATAATGCTCAGCCTTTCCTCTCTTACATGTCTCAAACAGGTAGGCATAATTCTAAAACAGAAAGAGAAGGTTTAGATGGAGGGGGGTGAAGTAATATTTGTTACTTTAATGTATCTGTTTCCTTTTAGGCAGCCTACAGAGACAATACAGTTGGACTGAACAGGTTCTGCCCAGTGGAAAATACTGACAAAATTGATCGAGAAGTCCTGCATTCATACCTGCGCAACTACTATACGCCAGACAGGATGGTGCTTGCCGGGGTGGGAATCGAGCACGAGCAGTTAGTGGAGTGTGCGAAGAAACATCTGCTTGGAGCGGAGCCGGTGTGGGGCAGTGGGCAGAGCAAGGACGTGGACAGATCTGTGGCTCAGTACACAGGAGGCATTGTCAAGGTAAAAAAGGAAGGTGGAGGTGGCATCATGCCTCTTCCTCTCTGTTGGAGGTGCAGATTTGGACTTGAGCTTATTTCTCTATAGGCTTTGCTTTTCTAAAAAAGCCAAAACCGGCCTTGACAGCCATTATTTGGGTGACAGGTTAATTATTGGGAATGTATCAAGCTGGATCCAACAAAGGTGAAAATCGGTCCTAATAATTTGTCTGCCCTTCCCACAGGTTGAAAAAGATATGTCAGATGTGAGTCTGGGCCCTACTCCCATCCCAGAGCTTACCCACATCATGATTGGGTTAGAAAGCTGCTCGTTTTTAGTAAGTATTAACCTAAAATCCTTTGTTCTGGGTGCCCTGTCCTTGAAGAATCACAGAATACTATCTCATTATGTAAACATTGGCACTCTTGCTGCTGATGCTGCACGTACAGACAAGCAGCTTTTTCACTGACAGTTTGATGAAGGCACTGACCTTTACACTCTTCCTGTGCCATGTTTCTTTCTGACTCTTTTTCTCCCTCTTTACTCATCCCAGACCCTTGAGAGCTCTGCTATTTGCTGACTGAATTTCTTGTTGCAATTCAGGAGGAAGATTTCATTCCCTTTGCGGTATTAAACATGATGATGGGAGGTGGTGGCTCTTTTTCAGCTGGAGGGCCTGGCAAGGGCATGTTCACCCGACTGTATCTCAATGTGCTCAACAGGTTTGTTTGCCTTTCTGTTTAAGGGATAGCAGAAACAGTCTTCTCTAGCAGGTTCACATGGAAGGCTTCATCTTTTGAAAGCCAACACCCCCAGGTTTTACATCAGCTTATTCTGCTTGAAAGATGCAGGACTGATTTGTCAGTGGGCATTTTGAGAGGGTGAAAGTAAAGGGCAGAAGTGACCAGGAATCCTGTCTTCCTCCACTAGCCCAATCCTTTAATCAGGGGATATTAACAGAATTGGCAGTTGGTACCAGTAATACTGCTCTGTCTTGTTGTGGGTTTGGTCTGAAGGATGCAAGTGGAGAGAAGGAAATACATGGCACATGCAGAAATTGTCAGAGGCAGGGATTGACAATTCTTACTGAAATTGCTGAGAATCCTGAAAATGCACTAGGAGGGGACTCGCTGTCTATGTTTGTTTAATTTTTACATTTGAATTGTTTTTTTATATTTTTAAATACTGTTTGTATACTCACAGGCACCACTGGATGTATAATGCAACCTCTTACCACCACAGTTACGAGGATACAGGTCTTCTGTGTATACATGCCAGTGCAGATCCAAAACAGGTATATAGTCCTGTAGTCAAAGACAGGTGTCCTTAAAAGTAATCACATCACTTATTACCAGACAGTAATGTTAACAGAATAAGCATTGTTCTAATCTTTTTTCAATTATCTGTTTTTCCTAGGTTCGAGAGATGGTGGAAATCATCACAAGAGAATTCATTCTAATGGCAGGAGCAGTAGGAGAGGTCAGCAGCCTAACTTGCAGACTATGCAGATGGTCTTTGTGCTGAAATAATGCATTGTGCTGGCCTTGCTAGAATGAATTTCTGTAGATACGTACGTTACGTATTTCTGTAAAAGGATATAGTAACGTTAGCAACACATTCACAAAGAGGAAGGTGTTTGCAGAACTCTCACGTGGCATCTTGTATTAGAGAGCAGTGGCCAGACCTTTTTGAACATCTATTTGTATTTGCTGCTCATTCACAGGTAGAACTTGAGCGAGCAAAGACACAGCTGAAGTCCATGCTCATGATGAACCTTGAGTCTCGGCCAGTTATCTTTGAAGATGTGGGAAGGCAAGTGTTGGCAACAAACACAAGGAAGCTACCTCATGAGCTCTGTGACCTGATCAGTGAGTAGATGATGCTTTTCCTTGCCTTGACTGAATTGTGGGTACAATCAGGGCGGGGCAACTTCCAACATACTCTTGTAGCACAGATGAATTGCCTTAGAAAGCCTGGGGGCACAAATACTACAGATACATATTTCAAACTGATCTTCTCAATGGCTTGCAAGCTAGCACAATGCTTATTTTTGTTAGAAGGAAGGAAAAAACAAGCATGGTAGAGAAGGTCTATAGTTAGTGATTGGTTTTTTGAGCACGGGGACTGACTCAGCATCATAATAAAGCTGTTTTGTGCTATTTAGAATGTAGTTATCACAACTCTGGTGCTTTTTTTTTTTCTGCAGGTCAGGTGAAATCTACTGATATCAAGAGAGTGGTCACTAAGATGCTTCATAAAAAACCAGCTGTGGCTGCACTGGGTGACTTAACAGATTTGCCCACTTACGAACACATCCAGGCAGCGCTTTCCAGTAAGGATGGGCGACTCCCTCGAATGTACCGGCTCTTTCGATAAAGCAGTGCATCCTGCACGTCCGACAGACTTGCTTCTTTTTTCATATGTTTTTGAGATTCTAATATTGCTGCAAGCCCTTCTCCCCCATCTTTCCAGGCATACTGTGCAAACATGGAGCTGTGCTACAGCTGAACAAAGCTGCTTCAGAACACTGGACTGTGAAGAGCTCGTTATGTTGGGCTTAAAGGCCCACCCTGGCTCTGGATGAGTACTGTGACCCTCTGAGTAGGTTACAAGAGATGATGATGGATGTATACAGCCTTCTCTTGGCACTGGGGACAACAAAGCAAGCCAAAATATTCATCCCTACAACTGAAAGCATGTATCTGAGAAGAAGTAAGTCACTTTTGTGTGTTACCACTTAATCCTGTCAGCAGAAGTGGGGGAGGCCCTGGTGTGTGCCCTTCTTGAGGAATGTGGTGGCCTGTTAAAGAGGTTGGCTTACAAATCCGAATTCAAAGAATATAGTCAAATAAGTCTTGAACAAAGACTTGGTCAAACTGAATTAGGAAAATACTAGTTGTTATCCACGTGAAGTTAGGCAACAAGTTTCCTGCAGTCCTGGTTTTGTTACAAGCATCATGGATCCATTTCCTCAGTGTAATTTACCATTCTGTAGTACTAGTAGAAGTCACATGTCTGGATATAACTTCATAATTTTGCTAGAGCTCAGAGGAAAGTAGACCTATGGCATAACTAAGTATCTGTGGAGTTCATCTACAGAGGTATTATGCATAATGCTACATGGACACTTACTCTAGAATGAAAGCGATTCTATTCTTCAGGTTTTTCACTTGCAAGTGAACTATGCTAAAGAATAGAAGTTCTTTTACTCCAGAGTTGGTACACAAACAGAAAGTTATTAAAGGAGTTGCTGCTGCTGCACCTTAAACTCATACCTACTTTCTTCATTGTCACTCAGATGAACTTAAGGCCTTTCAAAAAGAAGACATAATTGTCAGTCTCACAGCAGAGATGTCGCTCAGCTAGCAGTCAAGATCAACAAAGTGACATCATTTAGAAAGCTTATAATCTTGAAAGTGACTGACACCATGTTACAGAAAGACATTAATCTAAGTGCCACGCATTTGACATACTGAAGAAATGGAGACGCAAAAGAGAGGAATAAAACATTTGATTTACATAATCCCCTAACATAAGGGCTTAAAAATGTAGGCAGCTGCATTGCAGCACTTCACTGGCTAGATGTGTATTGTAAGGAGCAATCAAACTGGGAGCGGAACACTGTGAGGCAGCTATTACCTGCTTTATCCCCATACCTTTCCTCATGCAACTAGAAGAAAAACATGTTGCATTGCTTCTTGTGGAACCCACAGTATGGAAGTCCTATTCAGTTGTTGTGTATGTTTGTAAGAAAATAAAGAGACCTCTAAATGACTGGAGCAAGTAGTAAGAGTTCTGAAATTCATCAGGTAATGGCTGGGTTTCTTGAACTAGTAGGTGAGATGTGCTTGCTTTGTTCAATGCAAACGATCCCAAAGAAATCTATCCCGCTTTTCCAGCTGAAGATAGATGGCTCAGGTCACCCGAACGGTTAGCATGCATCACACAGTCAAAGAACTCTAGTTCTGACAACGCTGCAATAAGAGCTGGTTCTCATTTAAGGTATTGCATTAATTTATTTTTATTCCTTTAAAAAGAAAGGAAATCCAAATACCTGATGGCTACAGACAGGTCAGTGCCATAAGTGTTTGTACCGCAGAACAGAAGCTCTGTCTTGGACAGGTTGCATAGTTAGCAGCACTTGCTCCAAGTTGTTTGCACGGTGTTTTATGTACGAAGGTGATTAATGATCCAGCCGATCTGTGCTCGTGAAGGGTTTTTAAGTATTAGCTGTACTTAACATTTTACCAGTGCCGTACTGGTCCATGTAGTATGTTTAGCCTTAAGACAACACTACTTCAAAAATAGCAAGTTATTCACAGTTCACTGACTTGGAAAAATGAAAACAAAAGGAATTAACTGTAATCAGAGGTAATGGAACTGTGCTGATCTGACTTGCTGCAGTTTCTCTGCATACTTCCCTAGTACTCACTTGACACCTTAATCACTTTGTTGAAGCATTACATAGTAACTGTACTTACGCCGTTATTTTCAACTCAAGTGTCCTGCTGCTGAAGGCAGGTTTGTTTTATCACCCCTGGGGAAGGCAAGTGAGTTAAGGAAGGGATTGTTTCGAGCAGTCTCAACAGCCAAATATATGGTGTGAGAGATTGATATTTAACCTCTCAGTAACAGAAGGCCTATAGAATAATTATTGAAAGGCAATGTTTCTATACTTCAAATGTACAGTAGTACATTCACACAGATTTTGCTGTAGAGGACCGAAAAAGCCCAACACAGGAGCACCATCCCTACACAAAACTGCTGAAGTCCCCTAACTGGTCCCTGTTACACATTTTACAGAATACCATACACTTGGCTACAGATAAGGAGAAAAATACCAACCCCACAATGTACATAAGCTAACCAGATCAAATCAAACAGACAAACAAAAATTTTCACCTTTCTGCAGGCTTTTCTTAGGTCCCCTGCCCATGGTCATGCCAATTCCAGAAGCTGTGCCCCCTGTGTGGAGTCATCTTAGAACCAAGAGATAGAATCCAGTTGCTTCCAAAGATAGTACGGTTAAAAATAAATCAATTACATCTGTTGGGATGGATGTCCTAAATAATTGACTCCATTTTCTTCAGCAAAAGCACTTGAGCCACCTGGATTAGCTCATGCAAATGAATCCAGGATGAGGTTTAAGCCATTCTTCACAAGCCACAGCAACTGCCAGAGGTGCTTAAGCAGACAATTCCCTGCAGAGTTTGCCGTGGCCTGAAATCCTCTTTCCGGGCACCTCTAACACAAGCATTGCAGAGTTCTCAGCTCAGGAAACGCTACATACGCTGCTGGATTTTTGGTCCTTTTGCTCTTGCCGTTTCTGAAGTTCCCTTGTAATCCGCCTCTTTATTCCAATTAAATAGAGTTCTCTGTCAAACTGCCCTGCAGCAAGTGGAATGCTACAATATAAACACAAGCAAGTAGATCAGGGCACAAATACGTTCTTGTTTGCCCAACCTTTCCCAACTAGTTCATACAACAAAGGCCAGAAACGTAATTTTTACTTTCTTAAGGCATTCAGTTACTGCTGTGGGAGAAAATGGGTAAAATAAAGTTCTTCCACAGCAACAAGCTAACGTTTTTCACAATACATTTAAATGAAGAAAATATCGGTTGTAAAAGGCAAATGTACTTCCAATTTAAGCATGAACATGCCTGAATTCATAAGGGACATTCTTTATGACCCTAAACCAAAAACCACTCATTTGAAAAGCTAAACTAGCTTACTGTTAGCTTGCTGTATTCGCTGGTATGGTTCATGCACAACAGTTCTTACCTTGGTCTGTTCTAGAAGGGCCAGAAGGAAACCTTAGCAGCCCAGCTTCACAGACTCTGCAATACTTCTATTTAATGGGTATTTAATACCCATAAACAAACAAACAAAAAAACCCAATTCTAATTGCAGTGCTGATCAAGTGCTTTGAGAAATCAGCATTTTCTAGATACATGGGTCTTGAAATCCCTGAGCATGCTACTCACAGAAAAAAAAGACTAACTAAATTTCAGTCACTTCACCAAATTTTCTAAGGAGTTCTACTAGCATGGCAGCCCACAGTGGAACATTAAGAAACCTGGAGGATCTCAAAATACTCCACATATATACAGCTATGTTGAAATGCAGCCACCACTGAGGAGTTTCTAGATACATGGGTCTTGAAATCCCTGAGCATGCTACTCACAGAAAAAAAAGACTAACTAAATTTCAGTCACTTCACCAAATTTTCTAAGGAGTTCTACTAGCATGGCAGCCCACAGTGGAACATTAAGAAACCTGGAGGATCTCAAAATACTCCACATATATACAGCTATGTTGAAATGCAGCCACCACTGAGGAGAGAAAACTGCATTTTTTTTTAGGAACAGAAGAGGAAAGCTGTCCATGCCGACAGGAAAAACAGAGAGCTGCATCTCAGATGAAACACAGATTTATAGTCAATTGCAATGGACGCCATCTATCTCCCTCAGGAGGATTAAGGGACCTGGCAGCAGGGATTTCAGATGTCACTGCGAGGTTTAAGTGCTCTTACTGCTGTGATCACTGAGAACATACATTGGGTAAAAAACAAATAGGCTGCAGAGAGCTACACGACTGAGAACATACATTGGGTAAAAAACAAACAGGCTGCAGAGAGCTACGCAGGATTAACTCTATTTCAGGGACCGTCCTGAGAGGACAAACTCCGAACAGGAGCATATCCTCAGGATCACTGGAGCCATGTGCAATCATACAGAGTGGCATAAGGAGGTACTAACTTGTCTCTGCCAGGTCTCACTTTCACACGAAACAAGGCAAATACAGGCCGATGGTCTGAAGTTTTGATCACAGGACAAGATGAGTACTTGACAGCATGGATGTCATCTTTGTACCGACTGCGGTATACAACTCGATCCTGGGAGGCAGAGAGAGAGGGGAGACTGACAGTAACTCCCTTTGCACATCCACCCTGGAAAGAAGCACTGGTTCACAAGAGACACATCCATTCATTTATCACGCTCCACTCAGTGAAATTAAGTTTCTTGGACAGGGATACATTTATGAAGAATGTGTGTCTGATCCCAACAGTGGTTCTGTGCCCAGCTCTGAGCACAGGGGAGAATGCACTGGAACAAGATGTAAGGAAGGGAAAATAAGATTAGTAGCCTGTGCCAAACTCCCCCTGTGCTCACAGATTGAGCAATCCTTTCTTCCAAACCAGTTCCATGTGCCCTGTTGCCCTTAAGCAACAAATCTCAGTACAACTGTATCTCATGCAGACCAACTGTGGAAGCTTTTTCTCGCAGGTGAGAATCCCCTTTGGAGGCAGATGTGAGGCTGAGCAGCCCTTCCAAGCACGCTGCTCTGAAATCATCTCTTACCGTGTAGGAAGGAGTCCTTTGTTTGGAAGTGGTGTCATAGCTGTCCTTTCCTATGTCAAACTTGTAGGAAGGACGGAAATGAATAT